ACCGTTGAATCATTGCGGGACCATTTGGTATTGGAGTGGGGGTCTGCATTGAACTGGATGTAGATCGAATGCAGAAGAAACCCACATTTTTGCTTCCTGCAGTGGGTTGAAGAGCCACACACCATTGGTCTTTATGATGTATTCATGCGTGCTATCCGCTTGATGTTGAGGTTCAAGCTTCAAACACAGGAACATGCAGACAGCCAGAAAATGAGTTCCATTCAACGCTTCCCATAGACGGGATGGATGCTGCTGATCTTGCTTGATCCATGAAAGAACACTGTCATTCCTTTTGTAGTGGCGAACAAAAAGAGAGCAATATCCGGTTTTGCTGGTTGATTCTGTGTGAGATGCATCTTTGAAAACAGCGAACGGCACGTTTACCCATGTCTCAAGAACAGCGCTGTGCAGTGCACTCACAAAGCATCACAACGGGTACTACAAATCCGCAGGATCCCAATGTCTTCGTGGCCTTAGGCCTTAAAGGGCCCTAAAGGCTTAAGGGCCTCAGCCGCCCCAGCCATGTCTGCGGATGTGAGGACGCGCTTTGGACGCCGGGACATGGAGATTGAGGTGGGTGAGTTGAGTGAATCCCAACGGCGAGAAGCTGAGCAGAGCCCATCCACCAGTCGCCGACCGTCTCACTGGGGCCCAAGACCTTGGATGTTTGCTGTAGTAGGCGGATCAGTTGTCCTGACCGTTCTGTACTCCTACAACGTGCAGCGGGGCTTTGCATATTTGTTTGGCCAGTGTCTCTACAAGGCACACAACTCTCTGGATGACTATTCAAGATCAGGCACTATGCATAAGAGTGTCTCAGCAATCATCAACAGTGCGAGTCAAGGTTGGCTGAGCATTGATTTTCCGACAGATAAGGCGACGAGGCACAACTATACTCTAGCGTACGATGTCTTGATGGCACAATACCAGAGAACTGCCAAGAATGTCCTGGAACTTGGCATCAAGAAAGGGGGAAGCCTCAAGATTTGGAGGGAGTACTTTAGTGAATCGACCTTCATCTATGGTATGGATATAGACCGTGGGTGCCCAACGTTCCCGAAAGATGCCCACATCAAGTCGCTCATTGTGGACTCGACCTCCAAAAAGAAGGTCAGCAAGGCCGTGGGAGACATCAAGTTCGATGTCATCATCGATGATGGCTGCCATACACCGAAATGCATTTGGAAATCCTTCGAAGCACTATTTCCCCGACTCCAACCGACTGGGCTCTATGTCATTGAAGACTATCCAAAGCTAGATATGGACACTATCCAGAAACACCTCATACAGAATGGCAGCAACCTGGTTTACATTGTCAATGACCGGTCAGATGATGAAGTGATGCTTCTCATCGTCTCCAATAAGTCCTTGGTGTTGAAAGCAGAGGTAGCCAAGAAGTTGCGTTGGACCAAGGTCAAGTACGTACCGGAACTGTAAGACGTAGGCCCTAGGCCTTGGCGATTGGTTGATCCTTTATCGAGTCAGCAGATTTCAATGATTTTTTTGCGCCAGGAGCCTTCTTCAAGTTCTAGAAAGAATGGCCCCGGCATGCATCGCCACCACATTCCCAAATCGAGAACCCACCATTGCACCAGTGAGCGCTGAGAGGCACTCCTACTGTCCATTGACGTCTGAGGACGATTGTGAAGCTCCACAAACCGCCGTCATTTGGAGCTGCACAGGTTGGGGCCATTGAGGCCACGGCGAACCACACGAGTTCGACCATTTGCAGAAGAGAATCACTGCAGTCAGGTGCAGAGCGAGATTGGGCCTGCCCTAATATCCACTGGCTACTCTAGGGAGTCATGAGATAAGACAATTGCTACTGCTACTCTAGGGAGTAAAATCTGTTGCTCCTGTGGTTGTGACATGTTGTGACGGAGTTTTCGTCAAAACGAAACAGACAGCAGCACTAGAACATCCCAAGCTGAAATGCACGTGTCCTCGTGCCCCTAATGCACAATGCCGTAAGCGATTGTTGTAAGTGAAAGGTTGGGTCGGAGGATTTCTGTGGCACGACACCGGCTGAGGCTTCCCAAGTGACGTGAGAGCCGAGCGTCCGAGCCAACGAGCAGATGCCAAAAAACGGGCTTTGGCGGCAGAATTCGTTTCGAACGACAGAGAGTTCGTTTCAATTGAAACGTCTCAGGTTTAGATCTGCAAGTGGCAATCATGTCGTTGACGCATCATGCACTTCAGAGGATTCTTGATCGCGGAATGTCTAATCAAGGAGGATCATAGTGAAATATATAGATGTGGAAAACAAAGAATATATATGTCCGGTTGCGCAGCCTTACTAGAGAGCTTTAACTCTAGCTCGGAAGCTCAAGGTTTTCCCACTTCCTGAGACAGAGGTGGCTATGGGCTGACAACACTCTTCATTTCAACAGAATCTCTTCAAGAGTCATCAAATTTCATTGGTGGTCCTACTCCTCAAAGCTGACGCATGCCACGAGATGGCTCTCTTCGCTCCCTCCACACGAACTGGAATTTAACAAACATAATCATGTGACAAGTAGATTCGCTACCAGTCGCTCTTTGCAAGCATTGGTGTCCAAAGTGGGCGCATTGCAAAGCTCAAAGATTCACAGGGCGCAGCGAATGGGCCAAGCGGCTGGGATGACCAAGCTCACCATGCTAATCCAGGTGCGGACTCGGGTGGTGAAGTTGAGCTTTACAGCGGTGCAGCGACTTTGGAAACAGCCTTCGCAACGAAATTCTCAAGTCGTTTCAGCATGTCCTTCGACAGTCAGGCCAGTAACTTCCTGCTTGGGTGGAGTATGGCACACTCCAAGGCAGGACGGGACAAGGGACCATGTAACCCCAGGACTCGGTACTCGCTGTGAGGTGACGAAGGGTTTTCGCTTCGCGCCAGTGTTTGAGCTGGGTCCGGATGGGTCAGCCGGGTATGCGGTGGTTTCATGTAGTTTGTAGATTTCAGGGTTTCACTGGGACCAGTGAGCATCTCACAAAGGTGACGATGGATGAGCTCAGCACGCGGCCACAGAAGTTCTGCGATCAGCTGAAAGACCGAGGAGTTGCCATAGTGCAATGCAACTTGCAGAGGAAGGGCGGGTGGATTTCTTTGGCAACTTTCGTGATCGGGGAGCGTTTGAGGATGTTTCAATCATCGAAGCCTTCTCTCTTTCAGGTTTGGATCCTCCACTTTTTCAGTAGGATCCTGTTCCTTCTCGTCGCTTTTTGGGTGCAGGCGACGAGCTGCTTTGGATTGGCTTGAAGCGCAAGAGGGAAACCCTTCTGAAGCGGTTGAAGCGGCTTTTTGTTCAGGACATGACATGATCATGCGATCATGCACGTTCATGTCCAAAGAAACAGTGATGGGTTGAACTGTGCCGCACTGTCCGCTCCCAGTCAACTACATGCGAGGAGTGGCCAGATGTGAAGATGTGGCCTTTCCCCGGCGCTTGCGGCGCATTGATCTTGTTCCAGATGAGTCCAGAACGACTTCGGGTGGCACAGAGGTCTTAGGCCTCGCAGGAGATTTGCCGCTCGGATGAAGATGTTTCTTGTTTTGAATTGTTGGAGTGTGACGTTTTGCCTTAAAGGATTCTCACCTGAAGGGCATTTCTTTTCGATACAAACCAGCAGACAATCTCGGAGCTCGCTGTGAACTCGATATGGATGTCAGATTGCGGCCGAGATCGGCAGATCCTGCAGGCACCAGGTGGCCTTGAGCTGTTTGAACGCGATCGCTGAACATGAAGAGCTGGCACTCGAACATTTAGTGGCACCGGAGCGCCTGAATGAGGCCAAGGCCAGGAGCAACCGGCGAAGACTGGGATGTGAGTCTCCCCCAAAATCGAGGAACCAAATCAAGGGAAGTGGTCTTCAAGGTAGCTAAGCTACCGTGCCCTTAGGTGGGTGAGCTTCCTTGAAAAAGCCTGAGCTCTTCTGCCTTCCCTGTCTAGTATATAGCTTCATTGCTCCTGCTAGCTGCCAGCTACTTAACCGACTTTAGCTAGCTACTTACTTGTTGGCTCTCCTCTTACCGGCCTACCATGGCCTACCCCTCACAGACAGAGTTGACTCGGAGTTGATTGGGCTGGTCCCGTTGGGTTTGGGGGATTTGCTGAGGCTTGATGGGATTCTTCAGATCGATCTTTGTGCATTCACACGTCACCATGCAACTCACGGCATGTTCGTAGGCGCTTCCAGTGTGCGCAGTGCACCAACATGTACCCCAACACATTGATGTCTTCAAAAACAACTCAGTATGGTCAACATTTACGGAAGTCTACACAAGCGGAGAGAGGGACACGGGATCTCAAAATGCGGGTTCTAGCAGAAAACGATCATACACTCACCAAAAAGACAACATACACAACCTGAACCATGATAACACACTCACCAGATACTGATGTCCTTTGTTTTAGCCATAGATTTTGACCATGGCTCTGAAATGCTATAATCCTTCATCACCCAGGATCTTTCCAGGATTTTATTCGCCAGGGTCTTTCCAGGTGTCTCGTCCTGTTCCCGCTCCGGCACTTCGAGGAGCCCAGCCTCTTACGTGCCAACCTTTACAACTCCCAGGATGGAGGCGTGATGGTCGACACAAGCGGTGTGAAACTCTGCACTATGGATGCTCAAAATGTTGGGCTCATGAGAATTCTGGAATGTTTTGGGTGTGTTTGTTATGCTGCATTGCTGTAATAACGTATTTCTCTCGTTTCTTGTGGGGCTTTGTGCAACTTCAAGCAAGCAGCTTTCGTGACCTTCAGTTGTGGCACTAATCAAACGCCAGTTGTACGCTTTAGAACATGAAAGGGTGCAAGATTGCTGGGGAGACTCAGACTTGTTCGCAAAGCTTTGCCATAGATGTCCATTCCAAGCAATTTGGAGAGGCCAAACGTGCCAGGCGCGGGCGGTCCTTGCTGGCATGTGGATTTAGGCCTGCTGACTGTGATGCCGGTGGGATCCTGGCCGGCGATGCCCCTTGGTGTGGTGAGAGCACTTTCTGCGTCTTATACATGCCACTGACTTCTGAGTGCACTGTGCCCACTGGACTTTTCGGCAAATCTGGATTGCCATTCTGGAACCTTTAGACAATGGTTCTTTAGTCAGTTGTCTTATGTAGGCTGCCTTCTTCCATCAAAGTTTGCTGAGGATGGTTTCTCCTTTTCACTCCAACGTCGGTGAGAACGCCTTTGTGGAGGAGCTTCTTGATGCCGAAAGAGACTTGACAGAAACGACCAAAATGGACGAAGTCCACACTTAGGGGGCGTCCTGAATTCAAATCTGGTTCAGGTGGCATTGACTGTTGGCTTCAGGTACTGATATACATATATATATATATAACCAAAAGCTATACAAAACAGGGTCAATCAATATCCCAAGAAATCTCAAAAGCTCAGGGGCAAGCTCTTTTCAAGGTGTTTTCGACTCCACAGTGCCTGGTTACAGGGTCGAATGTTTATTTGACGTTTCAAGGTCCACGTTTTGACAAAACATTTCGACGTTGATGAGATGGTTGGAGGTGATGCTACGAGCAAGGACGCTACTAGGGGCTCCTGGCCTTACTAGGAGCAAAGGACGCTACTAGGAGCAAAGGGCATCGCTACTAGGAGCAAGGACGCTTTGCTTTGTTATTTCCTTCATTTCAGGCGACGTCCTGGTTTTCGCGGGCACCGCCTTAGCGATCGCCACGGCTGGGCTCTACACAGCGCTGGTCCACGGGGTCTCTGCCGCTCGCCTCCGAAGAGGCCTACGCGGCTTGGCACTGGGATTGAGTGATGAGCAATCCAAATGCTTTTTGCTACTAGTATATAACTAGTAGTAAGGCCAGGAGCTACTAGTAGCGTCCTTGCTCCTAGTAGCGATGCCCTTTGCTTCTAGTAGCTTCTTGTTTCAATCATCAATCCAAATTCTTCGATTCTTCCGGAAGTTCCTGGAACTTCGGTTCGAAGTAAAACCCTTGGTGGTCGAACGAAATCGGCAAGGCTGAATGAAGACTTCCAAAGTTCCGTGAAGTCAAGAGTTCAGGTATTTCTCTACCATATTTCCTACGGGTTCGGCGCGGTGGCATCATTGAGCCACCAGCAGCGGTCACCAACACCCCTTTGGCGGCTTGAACTGACAAGAGTCAGAGTGGAACAGCTCGGTGTGCGAAAGTAGAGACTTGGAGAGGTTGCAGTTGTACATTTTGGATTGAGAAGTGGGGAAAACAAAAGGCCAACTTTATATTCGGTGGACTGATAATATGTCTGAATTATATAAATTGATTTGAGACAATTGCTAAAGTTCGTTGACGTGCTCCGTCGTATAGATGGCTGGCTGATTTGATGTGGTCTAAGATGATCTAAGTGGACTCAACTTTTTAGTAGTTTTGACACCCAGGCTTGCCTCTATCCTGCAGCGGTGCAGCCAGGAGACGGCCTCATCGAACTGGAATCGAACACATTTTGCCGAATCTTCGCTTTGGGTATAGCAGTCAAAACCTCAACTTCTGACATGTTTGGAAGTTTCTTCTGCCTTTGTCACTTTTGAATAGCCCTACTGGTCAGTGCCACTGTGCAAAGGAGTTGCAGAGCCACCGATGTTGGATCTTTTGCGATTTCACCGAGCCGCTCAGCCATGCGGAAAAGCTATTTGTTCCTAATAGCTTCTTGCTACTACTAGTAAGGCACTTGTTACTAGTAGCGATGC